CTTCTATGCTTTTCTTGTTTTCAGTTCTCTTTCCCTTTTTTTTTAATCTGCAGCAGATGTGGGTCCCGGCCCATTCATGTATGTATGTGTGCAATTACTTTGTATATTTATATCTCTGGGCAGCGGAACAATACCGGCGTTTGTCTGCTCGGCTTTTTGTTGTGTGTGAGATAATTGCGATTTATCTTCGTAATAAGCCAATGGTGAATATAAAATATGTGACGTTCTGCAGACAGACGGACGTTTCTGGAGCCTCGCTGGATGCAAAGCCTTCAGAATGTATGGCAGAGGACGGCCATTGCCAAGTATAATCTTAAAGAAAGAAAGAAAAAAATTCTACTTACGCTAATTAAATAACATTTTGGATCCGTCGTTCTATTACCGCACCGAAATTAAAATTTGCTCTTAAGAGCATAAAAATGACTACGTAAAAGGAAATAATTTATGCTTTTGAACATCGCACGACCATGCAGTCTCAATTATGACAGGTCTGGATGTCATTTCTTGCTGGGCAAAGCAAAAATTCATTTTGCATTTTGGATGTTTTTTCCTCCCCTCTTTCTATTCATAAATACATTACCTATAGCAGGGGTAGGCAACCTTGGCACACCCGAAACTACAAATACCATTGTGCCTCTGGGAGTCGTCTGTGGCTGTCGGTCTTGCAATGCCGCATGCGGCTTGTGGTTCCACAACAGCTGGAGCGCCAAGATTTCCTATCTCGGACCTAAAGTGTTTTTTCATACTGTTGTGTCCACAGGGGGCCGTCCTGTTTGATGTGGGCTTAGCTTGGGAAGCAAAATGGCTGCCGTGGCTAGATATAAAATACACACATTAATGATGCTCGGTAATCCATAATGGACCATTAAACTTATTTTTTATTTTAAAATGTAAGCATGTACCTGAATTGGTATCGGCCTCTGTACAGCAGAGCTCAGACATGGAAGAGAAGCAGCACAAGGAACTGACTGTGCTGCATTGATTATGTGCTAACAAGGAGAATGCTTACGAGGGAGAGAGCAGAGAGAGAGATGAGTTTATCAGTCTACTGCAGGAGTAGGCAACACTTGGCACTCCGGTTGTTGTGGAACTACATGTCCCATGAGGCATTGCACGACTCTGACACCTACAGGCATGGCTCCTAGTGGGGGATGCATGATGGTATTTGTAGATTCAGTACAGCTGGAGTGCTGAGGATGCCTACCCCAATCTACTGTTTCTCCTTTTTGGGTTTGGGGGAGGAACAAGTACCGTAAGTGCTACTTAAATGCTAAAGAGAATAATCGGGTCACTGGTTGGGGGAGGGACAAAACCTTTAAGTGAGATACCAGGTCTTCTGTTCTGCCAGACAGGGCTATGCTGTGTGGCAGAACTGTGTAACTCTCAGTACTGGATGGAAAAAAATACAAATCTTTTAGCAGGTAAAAGAACCCCCCATATATGTATTTAGCTGTTTGCCTTAAGATCAGCGTTAAATAAAGGCGCGGTAGGCGGGTACACGATCTGACGTAGGTTACGCCTCCAGAGGTTGTACATCCAGAAATCACAGTTAGATTGCGGGACGCGTCGTTTCTGCTGCGGTGTCCCGGCGCTTGTTGTTTTCCACCTCCTTTTGAAGTCACGTTTCCGGAGGGGAGAAGGTGTAATAGGCAAACAGTTGTTTTTAATTTGTGTTTTAAGCAGTTTCTATTTTCGCGTGCCATAAAATATCAGCATTTCAAAGGCCTGCAAATTAATTGAACTCTATTTATCTGCAATAGAGGAATGCGCTTTGCTCTTATAGGCTGCTAATGGTGTGTCGCGCCGCATTTATAGCCCTTTTGTTGTGGTAAAAATTCAGCGCAATCATTTTATACATTTATTTCCCAGGCCGATTTTTTCCCCCCATTATTTGCCCCTCTTAATTGTTGAGCGGCTTATTTTAATTATTCTCACACGCCGGATCTTTTTGTAGTTTTGCGTGTGTGATAAATAAATATATATATATA